TTATTTAGGTTACCTTGCAATTAAAGCTTTTAAAAATGCCAATACACGTGCCTTCTATATTTTAACTCTTTTTCCCGAAATTATTGAAAATAATATATTTTTGGCGGATAGCGTATTAGTTGTGTTATTCCCTGAATAGAATATCCTGTGAGAAATATTTATAACAAATTTCTTGAAACTTTTTCCTACGACGGATCCATAAAAACCAAGGATGTTCTTGAAAGAAACTCAATTTTATATTCTGAAAGAAAATATTTCTAACAAATTGACGAATATTGTTGTGAAAGTCTCTGAAAAGCAGTTTTTCAAAAAACCTGTTTTGAGGCTGTAACCTTGCTAACATTTTTTTTTAATTTTCAAAAGTTGGCTCTAAGAGTTGTTGAAACATTCTAAAAATCCACGAATGTATCGCTAATATACCTTGAAATTGTTTTTTCAAAATTTACTATTCTGAATCTATTTTCTTGTGAGAAATTATTTTGGAAAAAGTCCTATTAGAGCGTTTCTTTAAAAAAAATATTAAAAACAAAATTATAGCTCTGATGGTACTTGAAGAAATATTCCTAAATTTATATTTCTAAATATATGGTTATGAAATTTTTTCTCAAAATTGTCCAACTTAGTCTCGGACAGTATCATCCTGAAATATCTTGTTAGTATCTGTGATTTTTTTAATTTATTAAAAAAAAGTTCTAGTATATCATTCAAAAAATTCACGATTATAACTTTCTCTTACACTTTAGGAAAATAATATTTAATCTAATCTTTCAAAATCTCTCAACAATTTCATAATTAAAACTCCACATTGATACATAACTTTCCATACCACCTTTCGACTCTGTTGAATATTCTGTAAGGAAGTCCAAAGCTGTATGTTGCATTAATGAACCCACACACCCACAAATACACACTCCTGTTAGGGGATAATCTGCTGTAAATCACAAAATTAATTGAGTTTGTAATGGTATTTTAATTGAGGTGGATATGGTGTGAACTAATTTATTTAATAGACAAATCTGTTGGTAATTAGAAGTTTAATTACAAATTAATTTTGATAAATTTTCTGTTTTTGAAATTTAAATTAAGGAAAGAGATTTGCTGATGTATTCAAAGGTATATGGATGCAACGGATCAAATGAGATATTGGTGATCATTTGGGTACTTTAAGTATAAGTATACCAAATCTTCTTATCCGGAATGACAAATTCCTATAAGATTCGACATTTTTGGTCCTTCGAGACAAAAACAATTTTTTATGAACATGTGTGTTCATACTCGAGGCCTTTAGATGGAGTGATCCAAAGGCAATTTATGATCTTAAATATCCAAAGTCCAAAAAGATTTCACCGACTTAGCCAGAAATTCCTTTCGAAACCATTGCGGGAGGCTACTGAAAAAAATAAGATTTGCAAGCAAAATTGTCTAATAATATCGAAAAATTTATCATTTCGTAGCGGTAGGTGTTTGAATATTCTCAATTATTATCAAATTTTCTTGTCCCCACTTCACTCTCTATTCCTTCTCTATTTTCCCATTGTTTTATTTAAAGCTTTTTTTTCTCTCATTCAAATAGACTCCCTGGCAATTTACCATAATTATTGTTATCAGTCAACACAATGTGGCCGTTAATAACTGAGCAATTAGCCATAAAACTTTATCCCTGTGACAATAGAAAAACTAACCAGAGCCTAAGGCTGAAGTTAAACTTTCAATGACACTAGCCGTTTTTCTCGCTCTTTCCCTATCATTCTCACTTACTTTTTTTCTGACAATAGTAGGATCCTTAGGTACAATTCCAGACAATTTATTTACCCGTTCATTCCTTTATCCATCCCCTTCATAATTCCATAGTTTAAGCCATTCGACCAACTTTCATAATAGTTTCAATATTTTGTTAGATGTTTATCAAAAGGATTTATTAAGTGTTATCCTGTGAGTTTTTCTGTTGCTTTTGCTTTTCTGAGGATTGTACAGATTTTTTTTGTGTTTGTTTTTTGCAGTTGTTGGCATTTTTTTGGGATAAGTTTTATTTCTATTCGCACAGAGTATACGGACTTGCGGAATTGTTTTCATTGCAGTGTTTTTATAACATTTACCATACATAGTATGGAGGATATATTAAGTTCGTCATTTCGTTTGTAACTCATCGAAATAATAATTTTAGACCTAACAAAGTATATATATTCTTGATCAGCGTAAAATTCTACGATTTGACGATTAAGCCTTGTCCGCCCTACATTTTTCAATGGAAATGTCTGAAAATCCACAAAAGGAGTTCCTTCTGAGTACTTTACCCCCTGGAAGGGAATTGTCTATATAGGTCCATGGTATCGTATAGCCCTCACACAACGATACCACCTTATATTTGGTTTTTTGATGATTTTTATTCACCGGAACTATTTCATATTTCGTATTTGAAGTTCCTAATGGGTACTACAGTCTATGACAGAAAATTGTCTATGCAGGTCAACTTTTTCATATATCGGTACCTTCCCATATTCGGTAATTTGACTATTTGGTACTACAGCCTGTGACAGAAAATTGTCAATGCCAGTCAAGGTCTTCGTATAGATCCCATATATAGCGGTACCTCGTTATATTCCGAATTTTGGTAATTTTAGCGACATTTTTCACGAGATATTTTTCATGTTTCGTATTTGAAAATTGTAATGGCCTATGACAAAAGTTGCTTATGCAGGTTCGAGTCTTCGTATAGACCCCAATATAACGGTATTTTTAGACTTTAAAAGATTTTTTTTACGGATTTTATTTTTGTTTTTGAAAATTTCAAAATTCGTTCCAAATGGTGGAGAGTATTTTAAGTTCGGTCCGGCTGAACTTACTGCTTTTTTACTTGTTTTGTTATCAAGAATATGTACAGGGTGAGATAAAAAAAAAAAACTGCTACAAAGTCAAACGTCATAAGTTTTACATTTTTTTAATTTTATTGAATGAAAGCAAAAACTATCGGAAATATCATCAAATTTTAGAATAAATTTAGATTTGTTCGAATTGGTAACTTTTGGCACAATTATGGCCTTCAAACAGCCAATCAAACCGTCACACGCTGCCCGAATGTTGCTATGCGGCATTTTGCCCATTCCCGGCGAAGCGGTTGCTTGAGGTGATCGACATTTTGGTATTTTTTAGTGCCAACCTTGCTCTCCAAGGGAGATTTTGGTGGACATTGTGCACTGGAAATGAAGCGAGGAACCTCATTTTGTAACCATTCTTGGGTGGCGCGTGCTGAGTGCGATGGTGTTGAGTCCAGTTGGAATATCCAAGGTATGCGGCCAAAATGTTTGCGTGCCCAAGACTTTAATACACCCTCCAGAATATTTTCCCGATAATAATCGGCATTTATTCTGATGCCACGGTCGATTAATATGAGCGGCGAGCGACCATCGGCTGTTATGGCGGCCCACATCATTACCATGGCTGGCGATTGAGTTCTTGTGGCCAACTGGAGGTGCACATTTTCAGCTGACCTCTTTGGCAAGTAAATGTTTTCTCATCGGAGAAGATTAAATTCACCACTTTCGGCCAAACGAAGCAACTTTTTAGCTCTTTTGAGTCTATTTTCTTTCTGTTGCGTTGTAAGATCTTACACTTCTTGGAATTTCTTGCACTTTTTGAAATTTCAATGGGTAAGCTCATTTTTTAATATTTGCCGAATGGAATATTGCGATATGTTCACCTCACGAGCGGATTTCGATCAAGTCGCTTGTTTAATTTTTGAACCATTTCAGCTGATGCTGCTTTTTTCTTCCGTCCACTTCCTTGACGTCGGGCTACGCTACCAGTATCACGGTAACGAGCGATGGTACGAGATACAAACGATTTATTCACATTTAAATGCTGAAGCGCTCTAACGATAGCCACTTGTGGGTTTCCAGCCAAATATAAAGAAACCACACTATCACGCTTGAATTCCATCACGAATAACTTTTTTTCTGGAAAATTCTGATCAAAATGCTTTGTACGCTTTAAACAATATAATGAGTTGTCACTGGTCGGTCGGGGGTCTTGGAAATGACAGCAATCTGAAGTTGGTTGGAGTTTTTTCATCTTACCCTGTATAGCAGTACATCCATATATTCCGAATTTTGATGATTATAGCGATATTATTCACGAGATTTTTTCATAATTCGTATTTAAGATCATTTTTTACGGATTTTAATGTTTTGAAAATTTCCAAATTCGTTCCAAATGGTGGAGAGTATTCCAAGATCGGCCGAACTCACTGCTTTTTTACTTGTTTGTTATCAAGAATATGTATATATAACAAATTGTTTGAATATTTCCAGGTGTTGCGATCGGATTAACGAAATTTAGGCGTTGCATACTTTGCGAAGTCCCACATTTAACTCCCAACAACGTTATTATTCACATATTACCACAGCCATTTACATTATCCAGTTGAGAGAAATCTTGAGACTAATGATGTAATTACAATTCAAAGCACTTCCTTCCGGAAGTTCTTTGATACCTTTCCCTACCACATACGTTGAAGCAAAGTGCCTTTACTCCATTAATTTGTTTATGTTTATTGACAACTGACATTCATTAACGAAGAAAAATAAATGCCCCTTTTAATTCATAAACCCGAAAGGGCGGACATTTACAAGTCTAATGAACCTTTAGCGGGTGAAAATAACTTCAATTAAAAGAAAAGAGGTTCTCGACTACAAATCAGAAACAGTAACATTTGCAAATTATAAGTAATTAAACAAATTATATGAAAATATGTGATTGTGTGAATTTGGAGTTGTCTGTCTGAGGTGGAGTTTGTTTTTGTCATTGAAGTGATGTAAAGTATTGCGAACGGCAAGATGTCAATCATCCGCAGAGGAAGTGACATTTCACAAGGTGTTAGTTGCCCAAGCAAGGTGTTATATCTGTTTCTTCTTCTTTTTCTTCTTGTTTTGTGTTACAACAACGAAAAGTGTACAACAACAACAACAAAAATGAAATAATAATAAAAAGCAGCACTTACTTACCCCTCCCACCTTCCGTGCGGTAAGGTGATGCGGAGTCATGTGGCTCAGGAGCGGTATTTTGTGTATCCAGCATGTTGGTGTTGCGTACGGGAGTTTCTAAAAAAATATATATTATGTTAATATAGAATTAAAATTTAATTGACGGAATTATGAATGGAAATTATGGATCCCGTCCCATATCCTTTTACAATTTAAGAATGAATTGAAATAAAATGAAGGCATAGGAATGATGTTGCCTAATATGCAAGGATACTTACTTATACAGGGGGCAATGTGTGATCGACTTTGTTGATAACCACGAGCACAGCGATTACATGTGAGACCAGTTACACCATCCTTACAGGGACATTGACCTGAGGTGTGATTACAAGTTTTACCAGTCGAACCGACAGGATGGCAGTCACAGGCTGTAGGAAAGAAAAAAAAAAACAGAGGGCAAGGGTGATATATTAATGGTGATTTATAGAAGGGAGAAAAAAGTGATGAAATAAAATAATGTATGGTAGCATTATGCATACTTTTAGGAGGATTCAATTTACATTTTTATAGGTATTATTTAATGATGATTTAATGAAGGATTCTTAGAGCCTCAGTCGTTAAGTTTTAAGGATAAAATCGATGATTTTTAAAGAATATTTCCTCTTTTCGATTGGGTTTTAACGTTTAATCGAAAAGTTTCGCGAAGATCAACAGGACAGTAAACGGATATTTTATCAGAGATTGTCAGACTTATAATCCCGAAGTTAAGAGAGATATTTTTCAAAGATTTTCACATCCAGAATCGTGGGCTATTGTAATTTTTTTAAAGGACGATATAATCAGAATTGAAGGTTTTTGGGGATAGATTTCAAATAATTTTTAGAGCTACATTTGTGGGATTTTAAGGATATCTATGCAAGAACTGTTAAAGCTATTGTCGTGAGCCAAAATTATGTGTGTGTTTATTTTAAGTACGAATTTTGGGGTTGTAATCACGCATTTTTCAGTATATTTGCCAAGGATCAAAATTTTTGGATGGCTGATATTTTAAGAGCAGTTTTGTAATATTTTGTAGAGGATATATAAGGATTTCTGGAGAATATTTTTTTCAAGAAACAACCGAGGATTTTTAAGGATATTTTTTTAGAAATATTTTTCAAGGACAACTAGAACATGTAAATTATATTTTCTCAAAAATATTTATAAGAATATTTTGTCAATTATGAACTGAGCAATTTTCGTAGATTTTTGGGGAGAATTTTCAAGGACTAATAGAACGTTTCATAGGAATACTTGCTCAGGAATGAGAATTTATTTTTTTTTAATTTTGGTAGTTAGCATTGCTTTTTTAAGCAGGATTTTTCAACAAAATAGTTTCAAGAATCAAATGAGCAATAACCATGTACAGGGTGAGATGACAAAACTTCAACCAACTTCAGACTGTTGTCATATCCATGTCACTCGTACGAAAGCTGTTAAAATTAATCCAGTGACAGCTCATTATATAGTTGTGAGAATTTTCGATGGTTGGTGAGAAAAATTATTCGTGATGGAATTCAAGCGGGATAGTGTGACTTCTTTATATTTGGCTTGAAAACCACAAGTGGCTATCGTTAGAACACTCCAGCAGTTAAATGGGAATAAATCTTTTTAACATTTTTTTTTTTTGAAGAATCCATTTTGATCATTTCTGAACATTTCCTCATTTTTTAAGATTTTTCAAATACCAACCGGGAATATCATAAAATACTTATTCAAGGGTCAATGGATGCTTTATGAAAAACGTATTTTAGGTCCTATTGAGAAGTTTTCAAAATATATAATTTTAAGGACCAATAACTGGAATTTTTAAGGAATATTACCTCAACGATCTACTGAAACAGCCATTAGTTTATATTTTTTCGAATTTCCTTAAAATAATTGAAATAATTGTTGATGTATTTTAAGGGTATGTTCAATGCATGAATATTTTGTCAAACATTAAAAGAGGGATAATCGTAAGAACCGGATCGAATCGATTTTTTCTAGAATTTCTCAAGGATATTTTCTTAATAACCAATAGAGAAATCATATGCGATGTTTCGAAGATCAAAGAGGCATTAATCGTAAAATTCTTGGGATACTTTTTTAGCACTCAAGGATTTTCTCAATGATGACTAGAGTAATAAGAAAAAAATACATATAAGAACCCATCTAGGATTTTATCAACAAAAATTTTTAGGGACCCATCTAGGATTACTTAGAATCATTTGAGGTCTAATGGACGCTTTTTGAAGAGTATTTTTAAGGACCAATCAGGATTTGTTTAAAGAATTTTTTTTCTTAAGGATAGAAAATAGCGGATTTTTAAAACATATTTTTATAGATCAATCCAGGATATTTAAGTATGTATTGTAACGGTCCAAAAGATACCAATCGGCTCTTTTGTAAGAATTTTCAAAAATAAATCAACTCATAATCTTTCATTTTTAAAATAATTTATTAGGGATCAGGATCAATCCGAGCCTTTTTAGAATACTAGTTCAATGACCCATGAACGATTTATTGAAAAAAGAATATTTCAAGTTTGTTTTCAAAGATGAACTGATCAATAATCGAGGAGATGTCAAGTACACAATAGGGAACAATACATAATTCCCGGCGAAGCGCTTGCTTCAGGTGTTCGACACTTTGGTATTTTTTAGTGCCAACCTTGTTTTTCAAAATACTTCAGACACAATAGTCCAAAGGATTGGTATCCGGAGATTTTGGTGGCCATTGTGCACTGAAAATGAAGCGAGGAAGCTCATTTTGTAACCATTCTTGGGTGGCGCGTGCTGAGTGCGATGGTGCTGCCCAATGCTTTAATACATCCTTCAGAATATTTTCGCGATTATATTTGGCATTTATTCTGATACCACGGTCGAGTAATACGAGCGGAGAGCGACCATCGCCTGTTATCGCGTCCCACACCACCACCATGGCCGGGGCTTGAGTTCTGGTGGCCAACCGAAGGTGCACAAGCTGACCTTTTTGGCAAGTAAACACGATTATTTTGTTTGTTTACAAACTGCAGGACAACGAATGTTTTCACATCGGAGAAAACCAAATTCGGCAGTTCACCACTTTCGGCCAAGCGAAGCAACTCTTTAGCCCTTTTGAGTCTATTTTCTTTCTGTTACGGTGTAAGTTCTAGCAATTTTTGAAATTTCAATGGTTTTACCTCGAGCTTATTTTGCAGTATTTGCCGAATGGAATATTGCGATACGATCAGCTCACGAGCCATTTTTCGGCCACTGTGACGCGGATTTCGATCAAGTCGCTTCTTTACTTTTTTAACCCTTTCTGCTGATGTTGCTGTTTTTCCGTCCACTTCCTTGACGTCGGACTACGCTACCAGTATCACGGTAACGAGCGATGGTATGGAACACAAAAGATTTATTTCCATTTAAATGCTGGAGTGCTCTAACGATAGCCACTTGTTGTTTTCCAGCCAAATATAAAGAAATCACACTATCACGCTTGAATTCCGAAACACGAATAACTTTTTTTCTGGAAAATTCTCACCATAATGCTTCTGTACGCTTGTAAAGAATATAATGAGCTGTCACTGGAATAATTTTAACAGCTGTCAGACGAGTGGCTTAGATATGACAGCAGTCTAAATTATATTTCAAAGACGGCTAGATCTATAACCGTTGTTTTTTTTTAATAATATTCCCTTGGGCCACTGTATCCTTCCCATATTTTAATTTTACATTGACATTATTGCTCCACATAAATCTCTCCAAGGCATAGAGCAAAAATCTTAATGTAAATCTTAATTGCAGTTGATATCATTGTTTTGTTCTGTTGATGGACACTTGAAAAATTTGTTCAATTTGGCCTGACTGCCTGTCTGTCTGTCCTTCCCTCCGTCCTCGGATGCACTCTGTCGTTCGATATCAACAAGGAAAATGCATTTGCAATAAAAATCTTGTTTTAATGAAAATGTTTTGCAGTTGCTTTTTTTTTTTGCAAAATTTCCATTCCAGTTGACCTAAAGAAGTCTTTCATCTTTAATATTTGTCCATTTAGTAGAAGTAGTAACAACAATAATAACAACGAAAAAACAAAACAGACAACTTGAGTATTTACGTATGTCTTCTTCTGCTGAAAAATTTGGTCTTCTGCGTTTATAATTCTTGGCAATGTGAAAATATTGTTTGTTTTGTTTTTCGTTTTTTGGTTCTGCAACAATAAAAATTGGAATGCCTGCCTGAAAATCATTGATGCATTTTATTTTCGTTTTCTTTTCGGCGAATATCTTTTGAATGGGGCACATGGTGCAGCAGGGCTTTGAGACGTGTGTCGCACTGTTGCATGCTGCATTTGTTGCCAGCCAAATTATGTGGCAAGTGTCTTGATGTTTTTTTTCTATATGATGGCCTGTTGAAATTTGTAAATATTCGCTCCCAGGGCTCCCAGGAGGGACTTTAAAGCTAATTGCCAATGAAAGTGTGAATATCTTTCTCTTATCACATCTTATTTTCATTGAATGCATTTTAGCAGTCGTTTTGGGGCTTTTGTTCTTTTTCAGTTTCCCTTTGTCTGGCCAGGTTCGTGTTGTTATCTTCAAAACAATGAACATTTATTTCGTCTGAAGTGTTCTCGGCAATGTCTTGGTCATTATCCATTCACTTAATGGGGGTCAATACAGTTTGTCAGGAGAATAAATTTCGAACGATGTTTTTAATGAAGAGGATTTTTGCATTAAATTTTTTTTTAAATTTTGCACATATTGAGGGCAGTACTTGAAAATATATCTTAAAAAAATCCAGTAGAGTAGTCGGATCGGTCCATTACTGAATGTACCTAAAAACGAAGATTTTAAGTTAATTGGCCTTTAAAAGATTTCTTAAAACATTCCATCGATTCTCGATAGATGTTTTTAGAGAATTCTCCATTGGTCCTTGGAAAATAATGCTTTGTTGGTACTTGAGAAATATTAAAAAAAAAAAAAAATAAAAAATAAAAAAAAACTAATACTTATTATTGAGAAAAACATAAATATATATGTATAATTCCGATTGGCCCTTGACAATTATTTGAAGAGTTGCTCAGCTAGAAATTCTTTTTTTGGTCCTTGAAAATATTTTTTTTAAATATTATGATCAATATATGGTTACTAATCCCGGAACAAGATATAAAATAGTAGTGAAACAACTGACTAGCTGACTGATCTAGAATCACAGAGCAGAAGAAACGGCTCCAGCTAGAGTTTTGAAATGAGTACTAAAATGTACAAATTATTGAATATTTTGTATTGGACAAATTGAAGAAGCTAGAATAGAATGTAGGAGAAATGTATCAAAGGATTTTTTTTTTGGAAATTCGAACTTAATGGTTACGAAAAGTTCTAAAATGATATTAAACTTCTGAAGTGGTATTGTACTATATTTGGTACAAA